TGTCTGTGGTAGCTGCTGTCGTGGACGGGGCTGTGGTGGCAGCCAGGGGGGTGATCATTGCGCCCAGGAGTGAGGAGGGAGCTCCCAGGCCACCCCCAGCCCCACTCCCTCCCGACTCACCCCCACACAAGAGGAGAAAAGGTTTTCCTACACGGAAGAGGCGGGGCCGATGGAAAGCTCCGTGAAGCTGTGCCCCTCCTGCCTGCACCCCTACCCCCCAGCTTGGCGCAGTTGAGGGGGGCGAGCTCCGTGCCCATCCCAGCTGCACTCTGGCTCCCTGCTCCAGGGGCATGAGCACCCCACTCCCTGTGCTAGTTAGTGCCTGATTCTCTGGGGGGCCTCACAGACGGCCCCCCAACCCCTTTCTCTGGTACAGCGCTGTCCGCCTGGCTGCCTCCCTAACCCTGACTAAGCCATCATTTGCTGTTATTTACCGCCGCCCTTCGCAGGAGGGGCGGGGAGGGCACCTCGGGTCTGCACACACGCCCTTCCCAAACAGCTCCTGTTGTTGACTTGAAGAGATTTGACCCGTGGGGGCCTCCCCACCTCCCCATCCCAGACTTTGGAGGGGGTGGGATTTGCTAGACAAATCAGAATACGGAAGACGAAAAGGATGTCACCCTCCACCCTAGGGAGAGGGGCAGAGTTCTGGTTGGGCCTCTGCCTCCCCTGTTGTCTCTGAGCTCAGGAGCTCAACCCCCTCCTTCCTCCCAGTGGTGACAAGACATCAATAAACTTATTTTTCATACAATTACTTGGGGCTCTGTCTGAGACAGGCCTGGGAGATGCACCTACATCTCCCCTTCCACGGGCGGGAACCACCATCTCAAAGTTGGAGGATGGTGGTTTAATTCCCCTGAAAGCCATTAAGTCCTGTGTCCAACGTCGCTCGGACGCTAGCTTTAACGTCATGTCCTCCAGGAGAATCTCCCTGATTCCCTCCCTCAGGCTAAGATGGGCCTCTTAGATTCTCTCAGTGTTTCATGGCTCTTCCTTTGTGTGTCTGAATGACCCTGTGCCTCTGTCAGTGTAAGGTAACTTTCCTACATCATTTGATGAAGGCAGGAGCTGGTTCTCTTACACATCAGCTTTGCTGTAGCCGAAGGGGTGGTCACCACCACCCCGGGGCTGCCCTGGCCAGCTGTGGGACCAGGAGCCTCTGTTCTCACTTGTGAAAGGGGCATAAAGATTCAGATGTCTTGGGCTGGCCCTGTAGGCAGTGGTTAAGTGCTGCACAGAGGATGTTGGGTCCCACATGACTGACCAGGGTTCAAATCCTGGCCCTGGCAGCTTGAAAAACAAATGGATGTACCTCTGCCCAGGGTCCTGACAGGGTGAAGGGGAGCGTGGAGTGAGCGGGCCGTGCCCGGGGTGCCTTCACGCTCTCCTGGGCACACAGCCATTGTCTTGGCATGAAGGAAAATGAGATTTAGGAGCCTTTATTTGCTATGCCTCCGATCTCAGCTCAAATATCACCTCCACCCACCAGCAGTTACCGGAAACTTCAGTTAGGGGCCAATCCCATGGCTTGGTTGAGGCAGGTGGATTCCATATGGCCAACCGCCATGGTTCAAATCCAGACCTGGTGGCTTAAAAACTAGATGTAAATACTGGATGCCCAAAATCCAGGGACGAGAAATGGAGAAAGGAGTGCTGTGGCCACCCTTTATGGGGAAGTGATGGGGCTTTCTTGCACCCCACTCCCCATACCTGCCTGCCTCAGACGAGCACAGGTACCCTCTGGCAAAAAAAGTAAAACAAGTGAGGTGGATAGCCATTGGAGTAAGTTTGTATTGAACGTCTGGCCCCAGTGGCAGGGCATGAACTGTCCCGGGCACTGCTGAGTTCCCTGCATCACCCCACACAGAGCAGGGGTTGCATGTTTGAGTTGATGCCCGGCATGTACACAACACCTTCCGTTAGGGCACACTTCCGTACCAACCACCAAGCTAAGCATTGTGTTTCAACCCAAAGGTGACAAGACTAGTAGACTTTGGGGCCTCTATTTTACAACAACCCCCTAACCCCCCCCCCCGGGCATGGCCACACCATAATCCCTTCTTCATTCTCCCGGGCTCTTGGGCATGCATGCACATGCACCTGGCATGGGTCCAGGACTGGAATTGCATTGGCTATTTGGGAGTCCAGCGATGTGACCACTATGCTATCGGCTGGCCCCTACTTTTCTTTTTTTAAAAAAAGTTTCTTTTCGGGACCAGCAGTTGGAGTAATGGCTATGTCGCTGGACTCCCATGTAGTCCACCTCCTGGACCTGGCAGCTTAAACTCACGCTGGGCGCGTGTGCGTGCGTGCCCAAGATCCTGAGAGGAGAATGGAAAAGGGATTGCAGTGTGGCCATCCCCTTTGGGGGGGCGATTTCTCACTTTCTGTCTCTCTCTTTCTGATGTGCATGCGCCCCATAGCAAAAACCTCTCCAGAAAAGGAATTTCTTTTCAGGACCAGCACATATGGTGGGTTTACGTCGCCGGGCGCCCATGTAGTGGACTGTGGTTCAGGTCCCAGGCCCAGTGGCTTAAAACTCAGACTAGGCACATGTACATGTATGCCCAAAGTCCTAAGAGGACGAAGGAGAGGGGATTGCCGCATGGTCACACACACAAACCCGGGGATGTGCGCGCTCTGGTGAGCAGCAAAAATCTCTAAAAATAATGTGTCATTTCTGAGAGAGAAGGAGGCGCGTCCTCAACAAGGTCTCATGCTGTAGCCCCTTCCCCAGCCCTCCAGTCGGGATTTTGGGCACACAGGCCCCAGTTGTTAGAGGTCCACTCAGAACCTGTGGGGGATCCTGTGCTTCCAGCACTGCAGTGTCGTTCCTGCGTGTGCCCCAAGGCCTGGCTGAGGGGAATCTCCATTCTCAGAATTTGGAAGTTTGCCTCATGTCACAGCTGCTCAGAGGCCAATCAGTCCACCTGAAGCCTGAATCTGGCAAGAACTATAGCGCTTACTAAATATTTGGTTGTCGGAAAAGTCGTTACTCATTTCTGCATAGGAATGCAAAAAATGAAGTCATGACTTTTCCAGTGACCCAGTACCATGAAAATCAATGCCTTTTTCTTAGATTTTTGCCACAGAGCCACATGTGTGCTCTCCGGAGAAAAACAGAGAAAGGGAGAAATTACCCCAGGAGGGATGGCCACTCCCCAGTCCCTTCTTAGTCCTCTTGGGATCTTAGGCACATATGCACATACACCCGTCGTGATTTTCAAATAGCTGGGCGCGGGACTCAAACTATGGTTGACCTTAGAATCCAGCTGCCTTAACCACCTTGCCACCTGCTGACCCCACACAAATGGCCTTTTTAATGTTTCGTTTTGTTTGAAGATTTTTGCCATAGGGCGTGCGCATGTGCTCACTAGAGAGACAGTGAGAGGGAAAGTGAGAAATTATTCCCATGTAGGAACGGCCCTGCCACAACCCCCTCTCCTCCTCCGTTCTCCTGTGATTTCAGTCTCATATGCACTCGTGCCTGGCATGATTTTTCAATCTGCTGGGTCCATAACCACTATGCCACCTCCTGGCCCCATTTTCTTTGTAAGAGATTTTTTTGCCTTAGGGCATGTGCACTTACCAGAGAGAGAAACAGTGAGAAGGGAAAATGATGAAAATGAAAATCCCTTCTCCATTCTCCCAGGATCTTGGGTGCACATGCACCCAGCCTGAGTTTGAAGCCACTGCGACTGGAACCATGGTTAGCCATGTGGAAGTTCAGATATAACTATGCCCCTACCGACCCCATTATTATTTTTAGAGACATTTTTTGGTATAGATCTCATTTGCTGGTGGGAGAGACGGGCAGAAAGGGAGAAATCACCCCCTAACGGAAAGACCAAGCCACAATCCCTTCTCCATTCTCATCTCGGGCTTT